CGGCTAAACCTCCTTTCTACTAAAAATACAAACATTAGCTGTGTGTGGTGGCGGGTGCCATAATCCTAGCTACTCTGGTGGCTGAGGCATGGAGACATTGCTTGAAGCCCAGGAGGCGGAGGTTGCAGTGAGCCTCAGAAGATTGTTGTCACTAGCACTGCCCCGCCAGGCGTGACAGAGTGAGGACCCTGTCTGACAAAATAAACCAAATAAGTAAATGAATAAAATAATATAAAATAAAACGGTTTAGATTAACAAATGATCCTAATAGGATTCTTTTCACACTTTAGCTTTTTTAAATTTGATAATTTGTCTATCTGTTGCTTTTTTATTTCAACCCACACTTTTATCTCGTACATTACAATGTAAAGGGTTATTAGGGCACTTTATGCCTGCTGTATTTGACTGTTTGTGGTATCTGTGGAATTTATCTTGAAATTGGGTATGATAATTTTACTTGCTGGAATGTAAAACGTAGAAAAAGCTAAATGTTTAATTATATAGAGCAGAATCAGCCAAAACCATTTCATTTAAAAAGCCATTGTAAGTGAGCAATTTTTATTCAGTTAACAAACATACTTGCTCTTACCCCATAAATGTTACGATGTGTGGCGACAAAAACAGCACACTATGAATAATGATATTGTGGACTTAATTACATTTAATTGCGTGAGTAAGTTTCAGCCTATCCAATAAACACAAATTATTGTTGGCCAGGCTCTCCTGAGCTCAAGCAATCCACCCACCTCAGCCTCCCAAAGTGCTGGGATTACAGGTGTGAGCCACCGTGACTGGCCTCATTTATTTATAATTTTACACTTTTAAACATTTCTGCAAGTTGTATTTCACAAGAATCTTAAATTTTCAAAACACTTTATATACTATCTTAACTAAATTAGATGATCAGTTTTCTACTTTTATGGTTCTTTTTGTAACTGAACTTTTGTTAACATTATAAACTCACACATAATATATTTGATGTGTTTTAATCCATTACAGTTATTATTCTTTTGATACTCAAATTTTTCTATGTCTGATTTGTAGTAGCCCATTCACGTAGGCCAATGGAGCCCTTTGTCTTGTCCCCTGTACTCTCTGAATACTTTCCTTGCTTTCTACAACATCATCTTCCTGCCTTAGACTTGGAATCAGGCATTTCTCCAAGGAGCCCCGATTCTTTTAATGGTATTTAGAGTACATAATCTGGTACCAAAGGTTGAGCACTGTTTCTATGCCTTTTTCAGAAAAACTATATTAGGAGTTCATATTGCTATTTCCAACTGGCATTTAGAATTGCAAGGGTTTTACTTATTTTGTTTTACATTTTTATCTTCTCTTACAATGACAAGTCTTGTTTTAATTAACATTTACAAATTCCTAATATATATTAAAATAGTTATAAATTACATACGGCTTCAGAATAGGAAATCTAGCTTACTACCAACAATAAAATTACAGTTTTTTTATATTTACAATGTATTCCTGTAAGGATATACAAAAAAACCATTCCCATGTGATTAAACCACCTACTCGATACATCAATAGACATTTGTTTTATTCAGCTTTTAATTTATAGGGATTTGTTTCTTTTTATTTCATTTTTGTCTTATAATTATGTAAAACATTAATGCGGTTTCAAAGTCTAACTTAAAAAACAAAGTACTTCAGAAAAATCTAGTTTGCAATTTTAATCTTGTATCCTCTACTCTGTTCCCTCCCTCCCCTCCAGGTGACCATATTTATTAGTTTGGGATTGTCCTTCCATCATGTTTTTCAACATAAATATATGCATTTTTGTCTCCTCTTTCAGATAAAAGGCAGCCTACTATATACTGTTCTAGTCCTTGCTTTAAACACATACATGCTCACACACACATACATTTACATTAGTAGAGATCAGTATTTAGAGATATTATTCAACAATTTTTTACAGTTATATACTGCCCCACTGTCTGGATGCACCATATTTTATTTAATCAGCATCTACTAAAGGACACTTGGACTGTTTCCAGTGTTTTATTAACATAGTTCGGCAAATTTTTGTCAGTTTATATCGAGGATAGATTCCTAGAGGTGAGGCCGTTGGGTCAAAGGGTAAACAGATACGTAACTTTGCTAGATACTATGAAATTCTCCTGTAGAGGGGTTGTACCATCAAAGCATCAGAGTACCCATTCCCTCATCATTCACCAAAGTTGTCAAACTTTTGGGTTTTTGACCATCTGGTAACTCAGTCTAGTTTCATCTACATTTCTCTTATGAGCAAGACATAGGGCATCTTTGCATATGTTTAAAGGCCACTTGCATTTCTTTTTCTTTGAATTCTCTGGTTATATCAGATGAAGGGTGAGTACAGGTATTTTCAAATCCTCATTTTGTAGGTAAAGAAACTAAGACTTCATGACATTAGGAAACTTGCCTTTATGTAGCAGGCCAGGCACAGTACTAGGCATATATATATATATATATAATTTAATCTTTACAGCAATGCTTTAAGTTAGCATTATCCTAATTGTGTAGAATCAGAAGATGGCACTAGCATTTAAATCCACATTTAACCCAAATGCTCCATCGTTAACATAGGTCTTGTTAGACCTCTGTCTACAACTATAAGGAAACTAAGGAAATAACCTGGTCCAGCTGATACAGCCAAGTAAAGGCAGAGCTGAGACTAGAACATTATTTCTGCACCCCCAGCTCAAGGCTGGTTCTTCTATGACTCAGCCTTCCTCCATGTCTTACAATGCCTCTCAATGAGATTTCATAGTAAACATCTTAGATCCTCTTACTTGCTTTCATTTCCGCAATAAAGCAATACTCATAAACTCTTGAAAGAATTTAACTAATTCATATTGGTGTAAGTTGTTTTTTTTTTAACTGAAATGTCAATAATAAAAACCAACAAAAACTGGTCAAATCACAAAAAATTCTGAATTTGGAAAAAAAAATCTAATCTTTAATGCCTTAGCTCATCAGGTGAAGTAAAAATAAAAAGAGGAAAAAGTAAATGCATTTAACATACCTGAACATCTAATTAACAATCAAAATCACAATAGTGGCTAACTGTATGTTGGGTCAGCACTAAATGATTTATATAAATTCTCTCATTTAATTGCCACAATACCCTATAAGGTAGATACGATTATTAGCTTCATTTTACAGATGAGGAAGCTCAGGAAGATACAGGTAAATAATTAATGCGCGCTCTAATTTCTATTGTACTGCAAGAGGAGAAGGAGTGATGATAAATATTGAGAGTTTTTTTTTTTTTAACGAAAGTAAAAAATAAGTACTATGCTGCTTAATAGAGGTCTGTGGACTAGCAGCATCGTCACCACCTGGGGAGTAGAAAATTCAGAATCCCAGACTTTCATTCCAGCTCTACTGAATTAGAATCTTTGCTTTAATAAGACGCCCTCAGGAGATTCATATGCACATAAAAGTTTAAGAAGCACTGTTCTAGCCAGAAGAGTGCTTTCATATTCTCTTACCCAGTCATCTAGCAGATATTTTTAGACACTTCCTGTTGA